TTTATTTGACAGAGAGAGACACAGCGAGAGAGGGAACACAAGCAGGGGGAGTGGGGGAAGGGAAGCAGGCTTCCCACGGAGCAGGGAGCCCAATATGGGGCTCTATCCCAGGACCCTGGGACCATGACCTGAGCCAAAGGGAGACACTTAACGACTGAGCCACCCAGGTGCCCCCCAAAAACATACTCTTAACTATAGAGAACACACTGGTGGTTAACAGAGGGGAGGTGGGGGGGATGGGTGAAACAGGTGATGGGGATTAAGGAGTGCACCTGTTGTGATGAGCACAGGGAGATGTACGGAGTTGCTGAATCACTATATTGTACACCTGAAGCTAATATAACACTGTATGTTAACTATACTGGAATTATAATAACTTTAAAAAAGATATTCTAATACAGCGCTTAGAGTGAAGAAGCTTACAACACAAGAAACAATTTTTTTTCACATGAAACAGAGTGGCACAAAGCAATAAGCAATAAAATGATTAAACTGTAGAATCTACTGCCTAAAGTTTTGGCAATAAAAAAAGAAAGAATTTTATGAAATTTTAAGGACTTAAAAACATGAGTATCCAGGTTCAAAGACCCCACTAAGTACACATCACAATGGAGGTACACAGGTCTATGCTGAAGCATTATCATGACATATAAGAAGACCAGGGATAAAGAGAACATTAAATTCTCCAGAGTAAGTAAAGGACCACTTCACATAAAAAAATCAGGAATCTGAATGGCATCAGGGTTCTCAATAATAAGACTGAAAGCTAAGAGACAAAAGAATAGCTTCAAATCCTGGGGGAAATTTATTTCAACCTAGAATTTTGTTCCTTCCAAACTATCAATCAGGTATGAGGACAGGGTGAAAAACTTCAGATTTTCGTTTTTTTTTTTTTTTTTTTTTTTTTTTTTCAGATTTCAAAGTAATTACCTCCAATGCACCCTTTTTCTTTGTTTCAGTAAAATGTAAGAATGGACTAAGATAGAGGAATGGAATCCAGAAAAGATGAGCTGTAACCCAGGCTAAGGGAATTCCCAAAATGTGGCTGAGAGAAAACCATGGGTTCAAGTTGTTCTAGAGAGATGGTGGTCCAGCTTGGACCAGAAGAGTAGAGAAATGTCTTCAAGAAAATATCTCAACCAAGAGATTATAAATTTGACATTGGAAAAAAATGTACTGAAAGTGTTCTGAAGTTATTAAAATGGGTGGCAAGAGTTCATTGATTTACATAGAACTGAGCAATAAAAAGGAGTCCATTTTAACTCCACGTAGTCTGAAATTAGATTTACCAACTTTGCAGCTCCTGTTAGATGTCTGCTTTTTATTTTTTTAAAGGATTTATTTATTTGAGAGAGAGTGTGTGAGAGAGAGAGCACGAGCCAGGGGGAGAGGCAGAGGGAGAAGCAAGCTCCCTGCAGAGCAGGGAGCCCGATGCGGGACTCGATCCCAGGACCCTGGGATCATGACCTGAGCTGAAGGCAGACGCTTAATGACTGAGCCACTCAGGTGCCCTTGACATAATTTTTTTTAAAAAGATTTATTTGAGAGAGAGAGCAAGCGTGTGCAAGAGCACGTGAGCAGGGGGTAGGGGCAGATTCAGAGGGAGAAGCAGGCTTCCCGCTGAGCAGGGAGCCCTATGCAGGGCTCCATCCCAGGATCCTGGGATCATGACCTGAGCCGAAGGTAGATGCCTAACTGACTGAGCCACCCTGGTGCTCCAGATGTCTGCTTTTTGGAAGGAGAGTTTTCAGACTTTGAACCCGCCAGAGGCTTTGAGCTCCCAGGGCTGTGGCTGCCTTTTCCATCCCTCTAGGCAGCAGGAACTGCTGGGTCTTCTTTCACAGCTGTTAACAATGGAGGTGCTGTGCCAAAGCCTCCAGCTCCCCCACAGGCTCCGTCAGCACGAGAACCCTGGAGCTGTGGACAAAGTCTAGTACAATGGCGCTGAGTCTGGATGTGAATGGTTTTACCTGGAAATGACCAAGTTACTCATATGTGATATACCAATCACATATGGGTATATGATTATACTGAGATTCATCTGGGCATCTGGTGGAGAGTGTAAAAAGAAAGATGGAAAAGGAATGGGAATACTGTCAGTAGGAGTACATCTTTAATTCTCATCCCTCCCTTTCTTCTTTCATTCATTCAACAATAAAAAACAACAACTCGGGGGTGCCTGGGGCTCAATTAAGCAAACAACTCTTTTTTTAAAAAAGACTTTATTTATTTGACAGACAGAGTACAACAGGGGGATCCTATAGTCCCAGGATCAAGTCCAGCATCCAGCTCCCTGCTCAGCAGGGAGTCTGCTTCTCCCTCTGCCCCTCTCCCCTACTTGGGCACTCACCCATGCACGCGCTCTCTCTCTCAAATAAATAAATAAATAAATAAATAAAATTTATTTTAGGTTTAAGTAATCTCTACATCCAATGTGGGGCTCAAACTCACAACCCCAAGATCAAGAGTTGCATGCTTTTCCTACTGAGCCAGGCAGGCGCCCCTTTTAAATTCTATTTTTAAGTAATCTCTATACCCAACGTAGGGCTCTAACTCACAACCCCCCCCGCCCCCCCACCAAGATCAAGAGTCACATGCCACACCAACTGAGCCAGCCATGCGCCCCTCAGGAGATACCTTTTCCACACCTGCACCCTGGGATGATTATTTCGTTCCCTCTTTTTTTTTTTTTTAAAAAAGATTTTATTTATTTATTTTACAGAGAGAGACACAGCGAGAGAGGGAACATAAGCAGGGGGAGTGGGAGAGGGAGAAGCAGGCTTCCTGCTGAGCAGCGAGCCTGATGTAGGGCTCAGTCCCAGGACCCTGGGATCATGACCTGAGCTGAAGGCAGATGCTTAAACAACTGAGCCACCCAGACGCCCCTTTTAGATTTTATTCTTAAGTAATCTCTACACCCAAAGTGGGCTCGAACTCACAGCCCTGAGATCAAGGGTTGCATGCTCTACTGACTCAGCCAGCCAGTCTCCCTCAGCAATGTTTTTGCCTCACACCTGGCACAGAACTAGAAGCTATCATTTGAAAAACCCTCACTATGGTCTCATTACATGGACGAACTGCCTAAATCTGCACTCCCCATCAACTCTGGCCAACTCAAAGGCCTGCCCCTGGGAGCTGCTCTCTCCTAAATCTGTTTCTCCTGCTGTACCCAGTCCTTCCATCTGCACTCAGACTTGTTCTCCCATCTTTAATTCTCCCATCTCCCTGGGTGCCTGGGTGGCTCAGTCGTTAAGCATCTGCCTTCAGATCAGGTCATGATCCCTGCTCTGCAGGAAACCTGCTTCTCCCTCTCCCACTTCCCCTGCTTGTGTTCCCTCTCTCGCTGTGTCTCTCTGTGTCAAATAAATAAATAAAATCTTAAAAAAAAAAAAATTCTCCCATCTCCCTGTCTACATCCCACATCCCCCACCCGCCCCCAATGCATATCTACCTCTATACTCTCCATCACAGCTTGATCTTCTGGGAGCCCATTCATCAGGCTTCATTGATCAGCCCATCCCAAACCAGCTTCTATCTCTGCCGCAAGACCAATAAAGTCACCACTAAATGCCATGGCTTTCTATCTGTATCTTGATCTCATATGTTGTCTACACATTTTTCTGTTCTACTTTCCTTCCTTGACTTTGATCAAGCACATTCATCTGGTTTTCATCCTACCTGTTTGGCCACCCCTTCTCAGTCAGCTTTGGGAGTTCTGTCTGTTAAAGGTCAGAAATTTCTCCTAAATGTGTCCTACACTGAGCTCTACCATCACTTCCCACCCCATTGCCCTACCTAATTCAGTTACTCCTCCTTCTCCCCATTTTAACATAGGGAATCATTTGCTCAAGCCATAAAACCTGACCATTATTCCTCACTCATACCTATACTGAATCAATCCCCCAAGTCCTACCAATATTAAATATATTTCAGATCTAGTCAGTTTCTTTTTCTCCGTCACCACCACCACCACCACCACCTTCCCTACTACCTAGATGAATGTAGTAGGTGCCCAACCAGGCTTCACACTTCTCATTTGACTTAATCCCTACCCCAACCTAACTGCCACACAGCCGTTAGTAACTTTAATCCACAGAGCAGATCAAAACCATTCTCCTTTCAATAGCAGCCCACCACCCTTAGAATAATAGAGAAAACTGTATCTCCAACTCTTCATCAAAGTGCTATGACTAAACCATCCTCTCATTCTTCTTCTGAAAGCTCTAACACTAAACACAATAGTATGTTTCCTTCCAGTAAACTATACACAGAAAAAAAAAATAATTTGATAACCATAGAACACTGCACCCAGATAACTCAACCACTAAGCATTTCCTAATCTGAATGAACCCTACTCCTCTGCTTTTCTCTTTGCCCTATTACTTGCACTAGTGCTCTTATTATCTTTTTCTACCAAATATTCATAAAAACATAAACCAAAAAATAAAAAGCAAACAAAAAAAACAACCCCACAACAGCTCTACTTTTAAAAACCAGAAAAACACCACCAAAACCACTCAGACGGCATCCCTTCCCTCTAACTTCTCCAAAAGAGAAGAAGAACGATCATCAAAGACAAAGGGCAGCTATAAACGCAACACCCAGAGCCCACTTCACGCTCAGAAAGGGATACTCTGCCTCCTCCCCGTGGTTTCGGGTACTCTACACGTTCAGAGAAACTTCTCTAGTAGCAAACTATAGAAATGATCCCTGAAAGTATAGTCTTAACTTTGACCTTGTGGCCTCGGCTTGGTCTATGGCAGCCACACACTTTGCGCTGACGACGACATTTTTCGCACTTCTCTCATTTTCAGAAATATCACATAAACAAAGTACTGTTTTATACACCATCTTTTAAAACACTCTGCAGACTCTTAAGAGTCCTTTTCCTTTAAGAAAACTAAGTCTTCTGGTTCTTAATTAGCCTATCACGGACCGACAGCCAATCAGAAGCTCTTGTCTTTCTGACGCTAAAACTTCCGGACTAGTTTAAGGTAAGGGTGCGCTGGGGGGCGCCAATCAGTACCGGCATCTCATGAATTACACACCCCGTCTTCGGGTGGGAATTTTTTTTTTTTTTTTGGAACCTCTAAGACCCTGGATTTGAAAAGTTAGTATGTAAATTAATTTGACATTTTTACTTTCAGACCGGCTGCTGGTTACTCACTTGTGTGTGGATTTGAGGGGCACATATTGGACTCACCTCTGGGTAGGTTTTCCTTTTTTTTTTTTTTTCAAGATTTTATTTATTTGACACAGAGAGAGAGCGAGAGAGAGAACACAAGCAGAGGGAGTGGGAGAGGGAGAAGGAGGCTTCCTGCAGAGCAGGGAGCCCGATGCCGCACTCGATCCCAGGACCCCAGGACCACCACCTAAACGGAAAGCAGACACTTAACCAACTGAGCCACCCAGGCACTCCTTGTTTCTTTCTTTTTCTTTTTTCTTTTTTTAAAAGATTTTAGGTTGCTTTTCAAAACAATGTATCCAGGTGTAGCGAGCAAAATGGAGTCTCTCATGTCAAGCAGGAGCCTGTGTCAAGCAATGACCGCAAGCAGTTAAGGTACTGCAGCTAGAAGATACCACCCAGACCAACCTCAGCTGACACCCCAGAACTGATAACGAGTAGAACCAGAGGAGGTCTGCAGAGACCCAAAACTGATTAAATCCCTTTAAAAAGGGAAGGATTTTGGCAGGAAACTGTCAGACTTTTCAGACCTGATCCCTCTATGTCTGACCATTTTAAAAAGGCAACTGCCCCTGAAGGCTCTGACGGACTGATCCCTGAACAGAACAGAGATCCTTCACTGCCTGAACATCAGAAGCAGTAAGTGTCAAGAGCTGACCCGGACGAGACATATCTCAAGCCTTATCTCAACTGTTCAGCCACGGACTGACTTTGCGTTTGGTTGGTTAACTTCCTGCACCCTTCCGTTATCTTGTGTGTTGTGTGGCTTTAATTCTGTCCTGCTCTGTGTGCTGTGTAAGAAGCCAAGCTTAATCCCATGGTGAATTGTCATTGAGTTTGGAATCCTGAACCTGCTTTATAATTGTGATTTAACTTTTGCTTTATGATTGAATAAAGCTGACATTGGGGAAAGACACAGAATATGTTCCAGGCCTTCTACTAAACCCTTTGCATATATCATCCCATTTAATCTTGGAACCAACCCTAAGAGTTTGAAGAAATGGAAACTTAGAATATTAAGTGGCTCACCCAGGCCACAAGGCTGTCTGTCTCCTGCTTCCTTGAGCACTGACATTCCACCTTTCTGTATCTTGTAAGTCCTTATCTCTTTCCATGTAACCCAAAGAAGAGGCTCTTTGTGTTTTGCCAAAGACTAGAACCAGGTAAAACTGACCTGACTAAAGTAAACCCATAAGGAAAGAAGTAGGCAGTAGAAGTACTGGGGCGAGAGGGGGTGCAGAAGTTACAAAGGGAGGGGCGCCTGGGTGGCTCAGTCGTTAAGCGTCTGCCTTCGGCTCAGGTCATGATCCCAGGGTCCTGGGATCCAGCCCCACGTCGGGCTCCCTGCTCCGCGGGAAGCCTGCTTCTCCCTCTCCCACTCCCCCTGCTGTGTTCCCTCTCTCGCTGTGCCTCTCTCTGTCAAATAAATAAATAAAATCTTTTTTTTTTTTTAAAGCCCCCCGACGCGGGGCTCGATCCCAGGACCCTGGGATCATGACCTGAGCCGAAGGCAGACGCTTAACGACTGAGCCACCCAGGCGCCCCTAAATAAATAAAATCTTAAAAAAAAAAAAAAGAAGTTACAAAGGGAGAAAAGGGGGAATCCGGGATGCACTATCTGAGGAGCAGTGAGACATCATTTAGGCATTTCTTACAAATGCTAAGGAAGCAAATCATAGGGCCGCCATTCCTAAGAAAGGGTGACTGGGGATGAACTACTTACTGATGGGAGTCAACTTAGCAATTAGAGGTGCTATGAAGAGGAAAAGGCTAAGAATACACCCTGTGTCCTGACTGGAAGGCCCTTTGGCCATTTCCTGATAGACAACAGCCATGTGTTTGCCCAGTGAATAGCACTCAGAAATTCTGTGACAGATCAAGAAGAAAATGAGACCCAAAACTCCTGTCCTCAAGATTACTAACAAAGCAAGTCATCAACTGGTACTCAGTGACAAGCTAGGCCTCCCTAAAGGAACCTGAGACCTCACCCTGCGTATCTCACACCCATGTGATATACACACACATATAAACACCCTACTTCTTTTTCTTTTTTTTTTAAAGATTTTATTTATTTATTTGACAGAGACAGAGATAGCGAGAGCAGGAACACAAGCAGCGGGAGGGGGAGAGGGAGAAGCAGGCTTCGCCCCGAGGAGGGAGCCCGATGTGGGACTCGATCCCAGGACCCTGGGATCATGACCTGAGCCGAAGGCAGACGCTTAACGACTGAGCCACCCAGGCGCCCCAAACACCCTACTTCTGAGCACCAAAAAGAGAGTGGGGTAAAAGGTGGGGTGGGGTGGGGGGAACACATGATCCTTAACTATATAAAATGTTGAAATAAGGAATTGGACTAAATAACCAGCTTTGAAAGTCCCTTCTACCTCTGATATTCTCAAATTGCCTTCTTCATATCCTTAACACCTTTATGAGGGAGGTTTTTATTATTACCCCTGTTTTACAAAGAAATGGAGGCACAGAGAACTTAAGAAACTTCTGTTTGGTCAGCAACAGTGCCAGACTAGGTCTAACACTAGCATGCAGCACATAACAGATGCCAGACCTCAGCTGCAGATCTGCCTACCTGACATCTAGTTGACTGACATCCTGAATTGAATGTCTCAAAAGCACCTTGAATTCAACATGTCCAAGCTAGTTTTTCCTACTCCCTAAAACTAGGTCTCTTCCACTTTCCTAACTCGGTGATGGTACCACTGCCCACCTGTCCAGAAGCATAAACCACTGCCCACAAACCCATCCAGGAGCACAAAACAAGGGTCATCTCTGACACCTTCCTTCACACCAACCTATCATAAGGCTGATGATTTATCTCCCACATACCTCTCAAATTCCTCCACCTTTCTTCACCTCTACTATCTCCTTGGCTGATCAAGTGATCATCTTTCAGCTGGACAGAGCTTAACCTACACTCACCATTGCCCTTCTCCAATCCATTTCCTACACAGTGGCCAGGTTCCTTTTCAAACTTTTTTTTTTTTTTAGGTTTTATTTATTTAAGTAATCACTACACCGCACATGGGGCTCAAACTCACGACTCTTAGATCAAGAGTTGCCTGCTCCTCCAACTGACCCAGCCAGGTGCCCCAGGAAGGGTTCTTTCTTTTTCTTTACTTCTTTTTTTAAATAATTTCCACACCCAATGTGGGGCTCAAACTCATGGCCCTGAGATCAAGAGTCATATGCTCTTCTGACTGAGCCAGCCAGGCACCCTCCCTTTCAAACTCTAAATCCAATCATGCCACCTTTGAGAAGCAATTCTCCATGTCTCTCACATTTCTGCACATCAGCTTTTGTTCTGAAGAATCTACTCAAGGATATTTGTATCGTGAACAGACTTGAGAGCTACAGACAGTGTCTCCCTCCAGAGCAAAGAGCAGGCTTATTTCCTATCCAATATAATAAAGAATATGTCTCCCTCTGGGGACAATGTCAGGCAGGTGTATGCCCATTATAAAAGACACAGCTCCCCTGCTCTTGGGTTTCCAAAACCCCTCTTCTGTCATGCAGCCTACATTGTGTGCAGGCATCACTTGGCCCTCTTTGCATCACCTTCTGGGAACTTGGGCTCCAGTACAAAAATTACAATACTTGAGCTACTGCTATTGCTGGGAATAATAAACTGTCCTTTATCTCTGACCCAGGAATCTAGTATCCTGTGCCAACATCCACAAAACTGTGACAGGCTAACTTGGTAGCTTGCAAATATAGTAGAACCTCAGATCTTGACAGTTACTTCACACACTTACCTCTACCCTGCTGAAAATACTTCACTGGCATCTCACTGCTCTCAGGATGAGAGCTTCTAAGGCCCTACATGTCTTGGCTCTCCTCTTGTCTCTCCAATCTCATGCTTTAGCTCACATCTCCAGTTCTCACTGTCCCACACTCACCCACTTTCATGGAGTCTCTCATATTCGTTATGCTTCTACCAAAAAAGACCTTCCAACCTGTTGTTACCTTTGCTAGAAATGCACTTCCTTGCCCTCTTTCCTGGGGTTAACCTGTGATACTGTGATACAATAAGAAATACATATTTTGGTCTTTATCCTGACTCCTGACCAGAGCTCCTAAAACTTTTGTAATTTCCTAAGCAATAATGGTTCTAAAAGCATTTTTGTTTTAATATTTGGTCTTTGATCCTGTTTCCTGACATATTTCCTGGGTAAAAGAAGCATCTTTTGTTCTAATGAGACTAGTCTTGGTGGGATTCAGGATTGAAACTGGTCACCAGAAAGAAAAAGCCAAGATTGGGGCGCCTGGGTGGCTCAGTCGTTAGGCGTCTGCCTTCGGCTCAGGTCATGGTCCCAGGGTCCTGGGATCGAGCCCCACGTCGGGCTCCCTGCTCCATGGGAAGCCTGCTTCTCCCACTCCCCCTGCTTGTGTTCCCTCTCTCAGTGTCTCTGTCAAATAAATAAAATCTTAAAAAAAAAAAAAAAAAAAGAAAAATCCAAGATTAGAGGCTTGGAACTTTGAGGGGCACCTGGTGGCTCAGTCAAGTTAAGTGTCCAACTCTTACTTTCAATTCAGGTCATGATCTCAGGGTCTGAGTTCGAGCCCCACGCCAGGCTCTGAACTGGGTGTAGAGCCTACTTAAGATTCTCTCTCGGGCGCCTGGGTGGCTCAGTTCGTTAAGCGACTGCCTTCGGCTCAGGTCATGATCCTGGAGTCCCTGGATCGAGTCCCGCATCGGGCTCCCTGCTTGGCAGGGAGTCTGCTTCTCCCTCTGACCCTAACCCCTCTCATGTGCTCTCTCTCATTCTCTCTCTCTCAAATAAATAAATAATTAAAAAAAAAAGAGCTTCTTTTTTTTTTTTAAGATTTTTTATTTATTTATTTGACAGAGAGAGACACAGCGAGAGAGGAAACACAAGCAGGGGGAGTGGGAGAGGGAGAAGCAGGCTTCCCGCGGAGCAGGGAGCCCGATGCGGGGCTCGATCCCAGGACCCTGGGATCATGACCTGAGCTGAAGGCAGACGCTTAACGACTGAGCCACCCAGGCGCCCCAAAAAAGAGCTTCTTTAAAAAAAAAAAAGATTCTCTTTCTCTGCCCCTCCTCTGCCTCTAAAAAAAAAAAAAAGCAGCTTGGAAATTTGAGCCCCACCCCCGAAACTCTGGGGAGAGGGGAGGAGCTAGAGATAGGGTTAATGATCTGTCGTGTCTATGTGATGAAGCCTCCAGAAAAATTCCTGAAGTATGAGTTTGGAGAGCTTCTGGGTTGGTGAACACGTGAAGGTGCTGGGGAGGGTGGCACACTTGGACTGGGAATGTAAGCTCCACACCCCTTCACCATATCTTGCTCTATGCATCTCTTCCTCTGGCTGCTCCTGAGTTGAGTCCTTTTACAATAAACTGATCTAATAAGTAAACTGTTTTCCTGAGTTCTGTGAACTGTTCTAGCAAATTCTTAAACCCAAGGAGTGAGTTGTGGAAACCTCTGATTTGTAATCAAGTCAGACAAAGTTCTGTGTAACCTGAAGACCCACTACTTATGTCTGGTGTCCAAGGTATTGGGTGGGGGCAATCTTGTGAGACTTGAGTGCTTAAGTTGTGGGATCTGATGCCATCTCCTGGTAGACAGTCAGAATTTAATCGAATTGTAGAACACTCACCTGGTGTTGGAGAATTGCTCAGTGTGGGGAAAAAAACCCACACATTTGATGTCAGAAGTATTGTGAGTGAAAAAATAAGAGTTTTCCCTTTCATCACTATTTTTAAATCTTTAGAGATCTTGGGGAGTCTTTCTGATTCCCACACAGCTGGTACCCTTGCAGCAGTTATGATTTTATTTTTCTTTGGGTGATTATGCTATCCTATGTTCCACCTCTAGACAGAGGAAAGAGGGACTCTTAATTACCATTGAGTCTCCAGCCTTTAGCATGGTGCATGGCTAGGAATGTGCTCAGTAAATAAACACAAACCTATATGAGGTCACAAGGAAGTAAATGACTACTAAAAGTAGAAGAACAATAAAGACTTGTGTTTCAGAAGAAGAACAGAAGTGGATCACTTTTAAATACATTAAAGAAGAAACTTTAGCTTAGAATACTTTTAAAGAGGGGTACCTGGGTTGCTCAGTTGGTTAAGTGTCTGACTCTTGATCTCAGCTCAGGTCTTGATCTCAGAGTCGTGAGATCAAGCCCCGTGTTAGGCTGCACACTGGGCAAGGAGCCTAGTAAAAAACAAACAAACAGGGCGCCTGGGTGGCTCAGTTGGTTAAGCGACTGCCTTCGGCTCAGGTCATGATCCCAGGGTCCTGGGATCGAGTCCCACATCGGGCTCCCTGCTCTGCGGAAAGCCTGCTTATCCCTCTCCCACTCCCCCTGCTTGTGTTCCCTCTCTCGCTGTGTCTCTCTCTGTCAAATAAATAAAATCTTTAAAACAAACAAACAAACAAACAAACAAACAAAACTCTTAAAGAACAGAGGAATAGGGGTGCCTGGGTGGCTCAGTTGTTAAGCGTCTGCCTTCGGCTCGGGTCATGATCCCAGGGTCCTGTGATCCAGCCCTGCATTGGGCTCCCTGCTCCACAGGAAGCCTGCTTCTCCCTCTCCCACTCCCCCTGCTTGTGTTCCTGCTCTAGCTGTCTCTCTGTGTCAAATAAATAAATAAATAAATAAATAAATAAATAAAATCTATTAAAAAAAAGAACAGAGGAACAGCCCCAAACACCCAAATTGTATGCCAGGCTCTAAAAGGCCTCAGTACACTAACCAGCTCTTAGCATTTCTATCAGGTCAGAAAACTTAAAAAAAAAAAATTCTTTTTAAAGCACTTTAAAAATAAAAGATAATTCCTGATCAGGCCTCTATTGAGGGAAGGAAACCCACACACACTTTGCTTATTGGGGAGATGGTTTCTCATGTGGCCTCCTCAAAAACTCAGCAAACTTTGCAAGCCAGCCCCTTCAAATAATGACTGATTTCCGGGAAGCTACAGTAGGTGTCATCTCTTTAAGAGCTCTGGATCCCAGAGAAACAGGGAAGTTAGCGTCAGGTTTGTGTTCTTTGGAACCAGTTCAGTCCTCACTTGGGCAAATTCCTTAACCCTGTCAAAGAAAAATGGGTTCTGTCCCCAAACTAAGCACTGGGCAAACTGTATTCTGCGCCTTTGCTTGTAGCTTGAGAAAATCACTGTTGAGAGCAGCCCGGTTAAGATCAGAACCTTTCTTTGGGGCTTTGCTTCACCACTGTTTAACAGGTTCGTACTTCCATGTTATGGGGAAACTACTGTTGGGGAATGAAAACTTGCTGTTCCAAATAACTACAGATGTAACCTCATCGTTTGCTTCTTAGGTGTATTGTGTGTGTACACCCCACTAACAAAAATCCAAAACATCAAGTCTGGTAAAGATGTGGATCAACAAGAAGTCTCATTCATTGCTGGTGGGAATGCAAAATACTACAGCCACTTGGGAATACAGTTTGGCAGTTTCTTACAAAACTAAAAATACTCTTATCATAAAATCCAGCAATTGCACTCCTTGGTATTTACTCAAAATGAGTTGAAAACTAATGTCACACAAAAACCTGCATATGAGGGATGCCTGCATGACTCAGTTAAGCATCTGCCTTTGGCTAAGGTCACGATCCCAGCGTCCTGGGACCAAGTCCCGCATCAGGCTCCTTGCTCAGTGGGCAGCCTGCTTCTCCCCCTGCTTGTGCTCTCTCTCTCTCTGACAAATAAATAACATCTTAAAAAAACCCAAAAACCTGCCCATGATATTTACAGCAGCTTTATTCATAATTGCCAAAACTTGGAAACAACCAAGATGTCCTTCAATAGATGAGTGGATAAACAAACTGTGGTACATCCAGACAATAAATATTATTCAGCAATAAAAATGAATGAGCTATGAAGCCAACAAATGATACAAAAGAACTTTAAATGCATATTGCTAAGAGAAGCCACTCTGGAAAGGCTACATCATTTGGTTTCAACTATATGATATTCTGGAAAAGACAAATATGGAGACAGTAAAAAAAAAATCAGTGGCTGCCAGGGTTCACATAAAGAGATAAACAGGAGGAGCATAAAGGATTTCTAGGGCAGTGAAATTATTGTGTATGATACTTAATGGTGGAAATAACATACATTTGTCCAAATCCATAGAAATATATAGCACAAAGAGTGAATCCTAGTGTAAACTATTAACTTTAGTTAGTAATGAAAAAAACTATGGACTAGTGTAAACTATGTAAACTATGTGTACTATGAACTCAATATTCACTAAAAACAAACAAACCACGCATTAAAACTATACATTAAATCTGTGGTTTCAGGGATATCTTGTTCAAACACAGATGAAGTAAATAGTGGGTAGATTACCCACTACAAGCAGACCCAGAACTAAAGGGTGAGATTCCTCGTGTGTCAGTGAATCATTTATGAATCTCAGTACTGGAAAATACTGATAACAGGCCTTAAATGACTAAGCATGTATTCCCCCAGGCAGAGCATTAGAGTTTTCTCTGGAAAAAAAAAACAAAACAAAAAACAAAACAAAAGAGAAGCGCCAGGGGGGTATAAAAAGATCTCCGCCTGCCCCCCCCCCCCAGGGGGCGCACTGAGTCTACTTTCAAGCACACTCCCCACAGAGCAGGGAGCCTGATGTGGGGCTTGATCCCAGACAGGACCTGAGCGGAATGTGTGATCTGGGCTCATCACAAGAAAAAAATTCTGTTAACTATGTATGGTGAGATGTAAACTAGACATTGTGGTTATCATTTTGCAATCATGCAAACATGGAATCATGTACAGAAACTAATATAATGTTTACGTCAATTGCAGCGAACCCTTAAAAAAAACTCTTAAAAATTAAAATATTCACAACCAAAAGTTAAAATTTAATATAAAACTTGGCAGTAAAGGTCAAAAGTCCAGAAAGTAATACAAACCGTAGAGAGATTAAACGAAAATAGCGAGCGCAGGGGTGGCTCAGTTGTTTAAGCGACTGCCTTCGGTTTAGGTCATAATCCCGGGGTCCTGGGACAGAATTCCACATCGGACTCCCCGTCTCTGCGGGGAGCCTGCTTCTCCCTCTGCCTGCCACTCCCCCTGCTTGTGCTCTGTCAAAAATAAAGTCTTAGAAAGGGGCGCCTGGGTGGCTCAGTCGTTAAGCGTCTGCCTTCGGCTCAGGTCATGATCCCAGGGTCCTGGGATCGAGCCCCACATCGGGCTCCCTGCTCGGTGGGAAGCCTGCTTCTCCCCCTCCCCCCCCCACTTGTGTTCCCTCTCCCCCCCTCCCCCTACTTGTGTTCCCTCTCTCGCTGTCTCTGTCAAACATAAAATCTTTTTAAAAATAAATAAAGTCTTAGAAAAAGAGAACTCCAAGCATTAATTTAGGAGGTTCAATATCTGACTAAAGAAAGTTCTGGTATATAAGGTGGAGTGCACTAAAGATGGAGAGAAACAACTTACATATAAAATACAATCAAGAGACACCGAAGTGGCTCAACAAGTTGAGCGTAAGATTGTTACTTGTGGCTGAGCCTTCTTACCTCTACCCCTACCCCCTACACTTGCGCTGGCTTTCGCGCGCACTCTTTTTTTTTTTTTAAGATTTTACTTATTTATTCATGAGAGACAGAGAGGGAAGAGAGAGAGAGAGAGAAAGAAGTAGGCTCCCAAATATCAGGGGAGCCCGAATGCGGGACTCGATCCCAGAACCCTGGGATCCTGACCTGAGCCACCCAGGCGCCCCTCGCGCGCACTCTTAAAATGAAACAAGTAACAAAACAAAGAAAAAAATACAAAAACGAACCTCTGAAAAACAAGCATTTCTAAAACTTCCCACCACATAATCAGAAAACAAAAATTGTAAAACCTCCTAGCACACCACCCAAAAATACTAACAATCACAAACCCAACTTTAAACCAAATAAAGAAGTTATAGAGAAACCACTCAGACGGCATCCCTTCCCTCTAACTTCTCTAAAAGAGAAGAAGAACGATCATCAAAGACAAAGGGCAGCTATAAAAGCAATACCCAGAGCCCACTTCACGCTCAGAAAGGGATACTCCGCCTCCTCCTCGTGGTTTCGGGTACTCTACACGTTCAGAGAAACTTCTCTAGTAAAAAACTATAGAAATGATCCCTGAAAGTATAGTCTTAACCTTGAACTTGCGACCTCGGCTAGGTCTATAGCAGCCGCACACTTTTAGTCATGGCGACATTTTTGTCAACTCATCTGCCTAATCACGTACATTTTGTTTTATATTTCATTACAATTTGGTCAAATGGCAAAGTTCAAAACACTATTTTTTCGCCTGTTAATCTTCCAGCAACACTTAAATCAGTAACAAGCCTCATTAGCATGCGGCTTCCTAGCAGCCAATCACACGCTGTACACCCGACTCCACCCCGGAGGGACCTGTATTGCCCCACCCACCGCACCCTGCATGGCCTGGGTCCTGGTCGGGTCGCGCCACCCCACTATAGGCTAAGAAAACGCTGTTGACGCCCCTGGTCAGCGTTGGACTGCCTCTCGCTTGCTACCAAAGTCCGCAGACTAGAAGAGACTAGGTTTCCCTTACCTTGAAAGAGAGGCGGGAGGAGGAGGCAAAGAGAGAGACAGGTAAGACCTGGTGTACACTTCTTATACCACATAATAATCATCATAACCATGATGATTTACTGAATACCTACTTGATGACAGGCATTTTAATCCGTTGTTTCATTTCATCCTCTAAACAACTGAAGAAGGGTGTCTTTACTTCCTCATTCTTACAGATGCATCTCTTCACACAGCTGGGGAAACCTAGATATGTCTGGTACTAAATCAAGTCCAACTTCTTTCTGGTAAGCCACAGTGGTCGTCCTCAGGAGATCTAGTCTCCAATCAAATTAATTTCTCTAATAAAGCACTCAATACATCATCACTTAAAGTTCAGTCCTTAATGTTTCACCTTCCTGGCTTGTAAATCTCAGAAGCAGCCTACCCCTTTACCTCTGGCAAAAGTTAATCCCAGTTTCTCCTCAAAGAACACACCTTATGAAGTGTGTAACTGTTTTCATCACTTAACTCTTGTAAAAATACTTTTGCCCCACATCTTCCAGGATGCTAGGAAGCACAGTGCCACGTGGACATGCACATGGTTTTCTGAATCAACCACATTTTTCAGTGCTTCGTAGTAACATGACTAAAACACATCAGGTTCATCTCATCTAAGCACTTCTAATTGACTCTTCTCAGAGACAGACAGTCAAATGCTCTGTACTTAAATTCCACCAGAAAGGGACAGTGTTTGGGCAATCTGCCGAAGTCTGAGACATATCCTCAGTTTCTTATATCTGAAGTTATAAAGTGCCTTCCAATCACTTTTACCCAAGAGCCTATCTCTGGTCTGGTCCCTTCCATATCTAACACTTTTCCATTCCCTATTCCTCGAACGTTTCTAGGAACCCCTCAACATCCATGCCATGCCTCTTGAGAGCAGACTCTCAAACTGCATGTGGGTCTATCACTCCAGCACATTCAATTTTTAAAAAGATTTTATTTATTTTTTAAAAGATTTTATGTATTTGACAGAGAGAGACACAGCAAGAGAGGGAACACAAGCAGGGGGAGTGGGAGAGGGATAAGCAGGCTTTCCGCAGAGCAGGGAGCCCGATGTGGGGCTCGATCCCAGGACCCTGGGATCATGACCTGAGCCGAAGGCAGATGCTTAACGACTGAGCCATCCAGGCGCCCCCAAAGATTTTATTTTTTTAAGTAATCTCTACACCCAGTGTGGGGCTTGAACTCAAAACCCTGAAATCAAGAGTCAAGTGCTCCACTAACAGCCTGCCAGGCACCCCCAACTCAACTCTTTTTCTTTGTTAACTTCCTGGCCTAAATATAGCTTCCTCTAAAAGGTTTCCCTTGATTACTACCCAGACAAGGAGGCTGAGAAATAGGTACTTCTTTGCCTCCTGCCCTTCTTAGTACTTTAATTATTTATGTCTGCTTCTTCTGCTGGATTATACTCCTGGAATGCAAGGCCACATATCTGTCTTTGGTATTTTTTTTTAAAGATTTTATTTATTTATTTGACAGAGAGGGAGCACAAGCAGGGGGAGCAGCAGGCAGAGAGAGAGGGAGAAGCAGGCCTCCCGCCGGGCAGGGAACCTGACACAGGGCTCAATCCCAGGATCCTGAGATCATGACCTGAGCTGAAGGCAGACACTTAACTACTGAGCCACCCAGGCGCCCCTGTCCTTGGTGTTCTAACCCCAAGGTTAGATTAATTAATATTAATCTACATGTGATAAAAAATGAATAAACTCTGGGTTGAGGTTCTGGAACTCAGGCACTCATCTTTTGGGTTTTAGAACTCATAATCTATATAACTAAAATAAGTAGGATACAATCAGGAAACATTTCTTCCCCTTTTACAATGCCCTCAGGTACACTCTTTTGGTTGGCTCTCCCTTTCCCTCTCCAGAGAGGCATCTCAGGCAGATTCCATAGTCTTTAAGTCACTTTGAGGCCTTCAAGTGCAGTCTCATTTCAGGTAATTGTCCAGTCCTGTTGAAATCAAAACCTCTTCCTTGCTCTTCCACTCCTCTGATTTCAAGGCTGTTTCTGGCAACTCCAGAGCTGGAGGGGGAGGACCAACGAGATGACAAGTGGCAAGGCCTTCAAATGTAGCTGATCCTCTTTGTAGCTTTTGGCCTCTTCCTAATGCCTGCTCTTCTGTGGGAGGGGTTAGTGGCCCTTCAGGTAACTCCATTCCACCTCACAGCACCCTAATGCGGGCCAGTGCCCTCTCCTGCTGACTTCTTGCTGTTTCTCCAGCCTCTGTTGGGATTCTTCCTGCCTCCATAGATGAGGTCCTTTAGATGGCTCAGCTACCCTCTATAGAGTCTACTTATCCCACTAAGTGGTAGAAATGTGTAGCTAATCCAACTGCTGGTCTCTCATGTTTATCAAGCTGGTCTCTCATGTTTATTAATTCATCAAGGGCTGCTTTAGGAAGGAGGTAGATGGCAGTCTTCCTGACCCCTAAATTCCAGGTAACATGCCAGGTTCTCTTCATACCACCTTGGTGGCAGCTGGAGTGTGCTGACATTTCTACTGTTCAGCAGGCTGAGACACAGGCTCCCAACTATCCTGCTTGCAAGAGCTACAATTCTTTCCATGAGGTTCACCTGAAGGACGACCTCTTATTTGGCTTGAAGCTGGGAAGGAGGGGAAAAGCCACAGCTTTTTCTTCCCCCCCCCTTTTTTTTTTAAGATTTATTTATTTATTTGACAGAGAGAGAGAGCACAAGTAGGGGGAGCGGGAGAGGGAGAAGCAGACTCCCCACTGAGCAGGGAGCCCGACGTGGGGCTTGATCCTGGGACTCCGGGATCATGACCTGAGCCAAAGGCAGGCGTCTAACTGACTGAGCCACCCAGGTACTCCACAGCTTTCTATTCCTAGAATGCCTTTTAGAGAATCTTTTCCACTGACACCCCCCCACTACCCCATTGCCTTCTCCTAGATAGGCCGAATGTAGATGATGGAATTAAAGGTCCAAGGACCATTTTGGCCATCTCCTAAGAAGGCCTGCTTTAGATTGTCAGGGGACTTCTCACCTTGTCACCCCTTGTTCTCCACTCTGAGGCTTTAGATGAAATTCCCAGACACAGATGAAATCCTGCTTTATATCCAGTTAAACCTGTCAACCCCATCCCCTGCTAATGGTAAGAATTTGAAGATGCAGAATGTTCAGATGTCTAAGATACAATAAATGTTCTAATACTCTGCTTTTCACACTGGGAGAGTGTGGATAGAAGACACTAGAAGTCATAGCATACCTATGCTGAACATCCATTTTCATGTTAATACACACATGAATGTGTTATGGAATAAAATGCAAAATTTTGAGGGGGAAAAAACCAGTAGGACCTTTCAAATAAGTTATTGAACTCACTATCAGCTACTTCATCTATAGACTCTAGAGGCGGTACGTGGAAACATTTGAGAACTTTCTGAGTGAATTATTTTGTGGGATAGTTGGATCCTGCAAAAATTGGAGTTACCCTTCTGGAAGTCCTCAGGAATGCTGCTGAAGTAAATGGAGAAATACTGCAGAGAAATTAGGTCACCCTGACTGTTTCACAAGCAGCTGAGAGAAGCTTCATAAACCTCTCTTTATACTAAGAAGGGAGAGGGGGAATTCAGCAGGACTTCTGGTTACTCTAAAAAAAAACCAGGCAGGTCTAGATCTGTAGATCAAGGGCCAAATACCAGCAGAAGTCTTGTCCACGTATGGTTTAGTGTTTGTTCTTTTGAAGACTGCTTGAGCTACATTTGCTATTTCTATCTGCCTTGTAGGCTGAGCTGCCTGTAACACCCAGCAAAAACAAAACAAAACAAAAAAAACAACTGGAAACAAAAGCACCAAGTCCTGGGAAGAGCAAAGAAGGGGAGAGCTGTGAAAGCTGGTCTCTTCACTCCACCACAGGCTTTGGAAGACTCAGTAGATGGTGTAGATTAAAGGAGAAAAGGGAATCAGGCAGAATTAAAGGTGGGTGGCTGAGGCCTGAAGAGAAATCTTAGGAGTCTAACAGCTGGAAAACCTTACGGTTCCCTAGCACAAAACAAAACAGTCTCCAAACAACAATTTAAGACCTCTATTGAGCAATTTGACTGCACTGGTAGGGAACATCTCATTTCAGATTTAACTTTCAATTTCCCCAAGAACTCATAGCTTTATGATGTACCTGATTTTCTTTCTAACACTATTCAGAAATATGAATCAAGCTGCACCTGCAATTTTAACACAGTGCTTACCTTTCTTAAGAATCTTCTTCACTTTCACATAGTTCCCTTGTTTGACATACTCATGCAGCTGAGCTTCCAAGGAGTCATTTCTTAAGGAACCAAGCTGAACGGGACAGGGAACTGGAAGATGAACAGCCCGAGACATCCTGTTTCAAAAGAAACCAACATGCTTATTTTAACTCAATCAGAAATGCACTGACATAACCTAGATTCTTTCACATTTCTTTTACTTCTTGTCCACTTTCATTTATAATGAACATGATTAGGGGAACAATTACTGAAACTCTACAAGATTTTTTTTTAAAAGATTTTATTTATTCATTTGAGAGAGAGAGAGAGAGCATGAGTGGGGCGGAGAG